CAGCTGATTTTTGGGTCTCGCATGTGAGGGGGCTAGGGCGCTTGCGGGAGACATGCACACATGTGGGGGAGGGCAGGGGGATCACACACACATGTGCGGGGGGTTCCCCCCCCCATGGGCCATTTTTGGTCCCAGGAGGCTACAGGGAGGCCTACTAGGCCCAAAACAGGATGCAGGGAAGTCATGTACATAGGGGTGGGGAGTGTCGCATACGCATTGTATTATGGGTGCATGCATGCATGTGCACATGTGCACTTTTGGCACATGTGTGTGCTCTTTTAGCATGCGACAACAAAAAGGTTAGCCATCACTGATATAGAGGTTCAAATTTGTCCTCCTGGATCAAGAATCTCATTGAAATCAGTTGGACTCGAATACAGAGATGTTGTAGTTCAGCAGCTTAATGGCTTCCAACTCTGTTTTTCTCTGTTAATCTACTGTGTGTCAACAAACAACTTTACTATTGGAAACAGGGTCATATGATCTAATTTTAGTATGGTTAATTCAAATTCATTTGCAAAAAGTACTTTATTTTGAAACATTATTTTAATTTTATATTTCAAACTAATTCTTAACAGGCCTAGAGTCTGATCTTTCAACACTTATAATCTGGCTTAGTAAAAATCGATCAATAAGACACTTGGCATTGGGCAAAAATTTTAACAACATGAAATCCAAGTAAGATTTTTATTTTTATTTTTTTATTAAAAAAAATATAAAAAAATATAAGACAAGTAAGCAATTTCACTTTTTTCTCTTGCTTACTGCCTTCTTCAGAAATCTGTCTCCTGTACTTGATAATTTAGTACAGATGATTCAAGATGAAGATTCAGTAAGTATTTTTATTATTTAATGTCATCTAAGGAATCATAGCATATCACTGAATTTTATTAAACTATCAAATTATGTGAAAATATTGCTCATATGAATTTATCATTTCAAATTTATATAAAAAATAGGAAGTCGGCTGTTCTAAAAGGTATTATTTTAACATATAAAATTTTAAGAATCTATATTTCATTTTATGTAGCATAACAGTCTTTGAAGGTTAATAAAAAATAATGTTTAAATATTCCTGTCCTTTTTTTTAACTTGCAACATCAACATCAATACTTCATTTTTTGGGTTTATTTGTTGTCATTAAATGGTACTACTTGCCTGATATGTGAGAAGAATTTTGTTATTTGATTGCTGATAATCAAAATACATGTCAGACAAGATTTACTTTGTGATAAAATTGATTTGAGCCAATGCAGATAAGGAGGCAGGAATATTATATGTGTTCTCCACCTTTTAGTTATTAATTTTTTAAAAAAGACAGGATACAGATACTGTAGATACAGTACTTACACAGTATTGTAGGTACTGCAACCTACAGTTGATGGGTCACAGTACCCATCAACTGTGATATACAATCTTGAATAAACTAAAAGCTTATTATATACACTTTATACATTAATGTGAACAATAATGTGCATATAGCTGTCTTGTGATGAGCCTTTAAAGATTTGATATGAGAGGCAGTTTTATTATTAGGTAGATGTAATATTAACGTTGTGGTGGAATCCTTTCATTCTGAAATGCCACATTTTTCCTCCAGCCATGTGCTGCATCTATACTAGTGATATCCGTGTTCATTTGGTAATTTATTTAAGCAGTAATATTCCTAATCCAAATAATGTTTATTTAGATGTGCAGTATACTGATTTTGATTTTAGTTCTTCCGCAGAAACAGTCATTTTTAACTTCTAGCACTCTTCTCTAACTTATCAAATCAATATGGTCAGAGAATATGTTCAAGGCCCAAGTAAAATGCCTACTATGATTTAAACTCAATTAACCTGTAGGTGACCAGAGTAACTAATCCTGTTTTGGGGGAAAGAGAACCAGATAATGGAGGACATGGTGATCTTTCAGGATAGCAAATGTGGATCAGTCAGCATTAATGTCCAGAGATATATAGAAGCAGAGAAAACTTGTTAAAAAATAGACATGTAGGATTGTAGAAAAAAAGAGCATATATTGAAAGATCTATGTAATATTGGGGAGGGGGGTTCAAAACTGACCACACATACACTTTCCATAATGAGAGTGAAGTCTACATTTTCGACTCACGTTTTTTCATGTTTAAATGTGCTTTGCCATGTGCAGTAAACACATTCTGCTGCACTCATTGAAAGAGGAACCTCTTACTATTTATTTTGGAAGCATCTCAGTTAAACTTCTATCATTTCCAAATACTATAGCAATCTGAAGCTAATCCTTTCTCAATTATGTACCAAGAAGCATTTAGAGATTAGGCAAATGAATGTTGCTGTCATTTAAACCAGTGGCAGCTTTAAGACTTGTGGCTGGCTGAGGAACTCTGGGAGTTGAATTCCACAGGTCTTAAAGTTGCCAAGGTTAGAGACCACTGGTTTAAACTACAATGTCTGCATTTCTGTATCAAGTATAGGCATTTCAGTTATACAGTTGCAATCCACTGGGTTTCTAATTTGCATGCTGTTCCAAGTTAGTTTCTAATAACTGACTTAAAGGTTACATAGAAGCAGCAAGAGGTAGCATTCTTTCTTTAGGCTATCAGAAAAACCTGCAACAATCCTGTTTTGTTTTTTTTTAATTTGGTGCCAATTTAGTTGTATTACTATGGCATGTGATGTTTGGGGGAAAAATAACTCCTCTTTATTACTGTTGCTCTTTTCAGTATTTGCACTGGATTTTCAGACATTTGTTATTATGCAGTAAGCAGTGCGCCCTGCCACATTTAAAACACATCTAGGCAACCAGTCTAGTGTGCTTTCCTTCAGTGCATGAAACATTATTAAATATATCAGCATACTTTTTTTAATTTGCTTTGTCTTCATAGCTGGTTTTTATTCTACTAGTAACTTAGTTAGTGGTAATGCCGTAGCAGATTAAGATGCACTGATTGCTAGATTTCTGTGACAGTGGAAAAACACCTTCCAATTTCTCGTAGATTGGGGCTACAATTGGGGAGGACACCGTTTTTGATCGACAAATAAAGCAGTGTGTTTAGCCGTGTGTCAGGACCTTTAAATATAAGTAATGTTCTTGCAATTTTGGTGCAACCTGCCTGTCAAGAATAAAAAGTGCATCAGGCAGGTCATTTTAGAGCGCTATTGTCTATTACTTATAGCCATGGTACAGCTTTATTAGGAGACCTTTATTCATCTTATAAATATCTGTGAGGCAATAAATGCCCTCTCCATTCTCCAGAGGGTTTCAGAAAAGCAGTTTTGGTCTAGTGGTTAAGGCACTAGACTACGAACCTGGAGACTGTGAGTTTTAGTTCGCTATAGGCCTGGGGGACTTGGGCCAGCCACTCTCTCTCAGCCCAAATCACCTCACAGGTTGTTATGAGGAAAATAGGAGGAGGAAGGAGTATTGGATATGTTCACTAGCTGTTGTTTATAAAAATAATAAAGGCGCGCGCGCACACACACACACAAACACACTTCTTGCCCTGCACATCAAGGACCGTTTGACAAGTAGGTCACTACAGGAGACAGCGATGCTAGAAGAAAC